TGCAGAAACCATAGATGAAGATTGGTGAGGTGAGCAGGCAAAGGTCATAGTGGAATATAATAAAAGTTCTAATCTCCCAGCCACGCCCGACATTTGCGTCTCAAATGCATCACGCAATTGCTCATGCAGTATCTATGCTCGATCACGCGAGCAGCGCAAGCTAGCGCAGCATATGCAATAAAGTTATGGTTCACGCCCTTCTTCTCGCAGCATGATGTTGACTAACTTGACTTTTGTTCTTCTTTTGCTACTGCTGCACATTGATGGTGCTTGTAAGTATGCACGTACTAAAGTTCCACTGAATCTAATTTATATCCACCCTTGTTACTATAGCTATAACAGTACAACCAGTGTCTATCAATACAACACTCAACTCTACTGTTGTCTTCTCTTGTGAAGCTACTGCTGATGAACTTAGTTTCAGAGTTAATAATGAATTAGCTACTGATAATGCTGTTATAGCTAAAGGATTTATTGTGACAGCAACATATAATAATGGTACTATAAGAGCAGGGCTAACAGCAATAGCTTATGATTGTAATAATAATACTGAAGTGAGGTGTAGAGCTCTTACTTATGATCCACTTCAGGTAGAGTTCAGCAACACAACAATATTAATGATACAAGGTTAGTGTGGTCCCGTATTATATACCGTATAGCGTCAAATTTTCATGGGTGAAAATTTTCGTGATTCCATACATTTTTGCTTTCAAGTAAATTTTCGTTAAAAAATTCGTGATTTAAATAATATTTCGTGATGATTAAAACCACTCCTATCCATGTGGCCGCTGGTAGCTAGCCTTGCAGCTGGACTTGGAGAAGAAGCAACATGAGTGGCAGCTTTATTTGATATTAATTCCCTTCGTGTATCCGTGGCTATCACATATTTATAGGAGAGACTCTTAGCTGTGCCCGAGAAACAAATAAAAGGCGTGATGGGACACGCCCACATTTATATTAAAATTAAATTTCGTGAAAAATATTTTTGTGATTGTCCATTCAATCACGAAAATCACGAAAATTTTCAACCACGAAAATTTGACACTATACAGTATTTATCATTATTTCTCCTTCAGGTCTATTGGATAGTGTTGTTGACCTGGATTATACCTTTATTAATGGATCCAGTGTATTATTAACATGGACAGCTCCTTATACACTGGATAATGTACCTATCACTGGATACTATATAGTCAATGGATTAGTGAACATTACTACTACTAACAAGAGTATTATATTATCAGCTACTAATCCTGATCCCTGTATACCAAATAATGTATCAGTTTCTCCTATTAATGATGTTGGAATAGGTTCATCTAATAATATCAGTTTTTATTATGAAAGAGGTTAGCATTACTATGGCTTCATGTATATGTTCACAGTGTATCTTTCAGTTCCTCTCATTAATCCTCCTGTATCAATAGTACCAGTAATTGATGGACAAATAATATTATTGAATATCGGCATTGATGTAAGTATTAGATGCAGTTATAGTTCAACTGTTCCCCTTATTCCCATGATAATAGGTCAGCACTTTATGTAAAGGAAAGTATCCTAATAGTATAACAGTTAGTATACTGAATACTACTAGCACAGTAATAAACAATGCCAGTATACCACCACAAGTTAATGATCAACTGATGATTACTGGAATAATAACTGTACCTAATAATTTAAATACATTTATTGTTAATGTATCACTGAGTAATAATGGAGGAACCTTTAATAAAATTCCATCTTTTACATTTGGTAAGTAAACTTCTTTAATATTTATTTTTTATCATTGCATAATATTAGGTTTTCTTGGACCAGTTACTAACATTGACTCTTCAATTGACAACTGTTCTACTATTGATATAACATGGACTGCTCCTACAGTTGATGATAGAGTATCTATACTGTATTACATACTAAAAATATATGATGTTATTACTAGTAGTCTAGTGAATACTACAGCAGTAAATGATACCAATTATCAGTTTGTGGATAATAATTTATTTATTTATCATTATACATATGTTATAACTGGAGTTAATGAATTAGGAGAAGGAATATCTAATAATGCTACATTCTCATATCAAAGAGGTATGGTGCATACACTATCTCATGTTTATATGTTTATTGCACTGCTATAGTACCAAGATCAACAAACATGGACACATCATCACTTGACAAACTTGCTTATACACAAGATGTGGTTATTATCCAGTTCTATATTCCAGTATGTTATTAAATATTAATACCTTTATTATTACTATTACTGCGATTTACAGATTATTGTGAAGTGTACTGGTGAAGCTCCTGAACATGTTACAGTTACTGTACAGTGTAATGGAACTGATAGCAGTACAACTTACCAAATAAGGAATATGAATGATATAACAGGATTAATATCAGTGCTGCTAAATCAAAAGTGTAATATCAGTATTGTTTTTCATAATGAGGCTGGTAGTAGTGAACCATTTATAGTACCATTTGGTAAGTTAGTATGGTGTTTACATTGCAAATTCAAGTATTACATTAACAGATACATATCCCAATATCACTATTACTTCTACAACACCTACAACATCTACTACAAGATTACTTGCTATCATTATTGCTGGTTAGTACAGTACCTGTATTATGAATGTATATTATTATAGTTATTATCACGGGGATAGTAGGTGCTATTATTATTATTATTATTATTATTATGCTATCAGTGATAATAATAATGATGGCCTGTGTTAAAATAAAAATACCCAAAAAGAAAGATGGTAAGTATACCAATATTTATATTACTTTAATTATTAATTACAGGGCCTGCCTCACCAGTACTTCTTTCTAGTGAAGCATATGAATGCACTCCTAAACTTGATAGTAATCCTTCTTATGATGTCATACCTACTATGATGTAACATCAATTAGTGTATATTTCAAGTGCTTATTTTAAAACTAAAATGTCTATGTCTCTATGCCATTTTGATAAATAACATTGGTCATATTGAGCAAATTTCAGACCCCTTACCTCCTGTTCCCCTTCTACATGTACATCTGAGAATAACATAATTTGTAAGCTGTTGCAGTGTAAACCAGCATTCTTGCCATAATTTCATACATGCATGTGGCAAGTCAAAAAGTAGCAAAAAGTAATAACATGATATATGAAACTAATACAGCTATTGTAATCAGAACAGTACTATAAAATAGCACAGGCCTATTTTTACGAATTTTAAAAGTTTTTTCTTCAAATGACTCTACACTTCTTCCCAGCCACGTTTGCAGTAATTTTCGTCTTTCATATTCTTGTTGCTTGGTAATGTGACTCCTAATCTCAGCTTTCTTTGCGCCATATCAGTTTCATACTTTGACTTCAATTTGTTTAACTCGGTTTCCAGTCTTGTTTGTGTCATTTTTTGATTAGCAATGTGACTCTTAAAGGCTGCGTTTACACGGCAACGAAAACGATGCAATCCGTTCAGTTTTGTGCCTGTTTTATGCTTCTGTTTACACAGAAACGATTGAAAACGTGATAGAATCTTGATAGGACTCTATGGAAACGAAAACGGTGTTCAAAGTGTATCGTTTTAAAAACGATATGTTTTGCGTTGCTGTGTAAACGCAGCCTTAATCTCGGCTTCTTTTGCTGCCATATAGCCCAACTTAACTTCATGCTTTGATTTCAGTTCGTGTAGCTGTGTTTCAAGTGCTTCCTGCTGCTTCAATATTATAGTTCCATATTTTGTTTGAAGATTGTCAATTTTTTCTTCTTTTGCTGCTACTATATAAAGTTCAACTCAGCCTCATGTTTTGATTTTAATTCGTTTAGCTTTGTTTCAAGCACTTTATCCTGCCCTGCTATTATAACTTCATATTTTTTTCTTAAAGTATCAATTTCTGCTTTTTTTGCTGCAGTCATATCACTCAATGCTACTTCATGCTTTGACTTTAATTTGTGAAACTTCTTTTCCAATGCTTTTTGCTGCTCAATGAGCATTGCTCCGTATTCTTTTTTTAGACGATCAATCTCAGCAAATTTGTCTGCAGCCATGTAATTCAACTCAGCCTCATGCTCCAATTTTATTCATGGAGCTTTGTTTCAAGTGCCCTTTGCTGCTCTAGAATTATTTCCCCATATTCCTTTTTAAGACCATCGACTTCTGCTTTTCTTGCAGCAATCATAAAATTTAACTCAGCTTCATGCTTAGATTTAAGTGTATGCTGTTCAGTCATCTTTTCTTTTTCGAGCCTTGCTAGTGCTTTCTTATTCTGCTCTATGTCCCTTTCATGACTTTCAATCTCT